GGGGACACATCCTGTGCTGCACGGACACGCTCCCATCCCGGGTGTCCTCAGGCCTTGCACGGCACACGTGAAAGGAGCTGCAGCACAGACCAAGCATGTCAGAAATGAGGAAATGAAATGGCAGCGTTGATGGGAATCAAACCACAACGTGTGGCGTTAGGGAGGAGATTTTGCTGTGGAGGTGAATGTGTTGGAAAATTACTGTCCTTGTGTAGTGCCTGTGGGCCTGGGGCAGTGCAGGAGCAGTATAAAAGGGGGCCCTTCTCCTGGCTCTCTCATTCACTCCTCTCACCTCCATCTCCTTGGGATCAAGGTGAGTCTCAAGCCCTTTCTTTTCTTTTCTTCTTCCTTTGGCCTTTTTCTGCTTTTAATCCCATCTGTGTTCTTGACAACAGCTTGTTATGGGGGAGGGAAGGGGCAGAAGCCGTGCATGGAGAGAGGCTGGGTTTTGTCTGAGATGTCTCCTGAGTTCTGGCCAAGGCGTGGAAGTCCCTGGGCTCGGTCACTCTTCAGGAGATTCTTGGGGGCTTGAGCAAACAGTGAGGCTGCTGGGCCTCTCTAAGCAACCTCCAGCTATCTTCTCCTTCTCTGCTTTTCTCCATCACAGTTCCATCACACTGCTGTGACATAGCCCTTTCTGAGCTCTGCTTGCTCCTCTCCTCTCTGCCCCACAGGTGCATCTGCAGCCCCAAGACATGTCCTGCTACACCCCGTGCCGGCCCTGCCAGCCCTGCGGCCCCACCCCGCTGGCCAACAGCTGCAACGAGCCCTGTGTCAGGCAGTGCCAGGACTCCACCGTCATCATCGAACCCTCGCCCGTGGTGGTGACCCTGCCCGGCCCCATCCTCAGCTCCTTCCCACAGAACACCGCCGTGGGATCCTCCACCTCCGCTGCTGTTGGCAGCATCCTCAGCTCTCAGGGAGTGCCCATCAACTCTGGGGGCTTTGGCCTCTCGGGCTTGGGCAGTGGCCTCTGTGGCACGAGGTGCCTCCCCTGCTGAAGCTGCTGGTGATGGCTCTGGGGAAGGAAGCCAGGGACTCCCAGGATGGAACCGCCCTGGGGACCCAGCACCGGCTTGTTGCTTCCTGAGGGGCTGAGCAAGCCCAGCAGCCCCTGCAGAAGGACAGGGCCAGCCTGGGCTCTTGGGAAGCACAGCCCATCCCTGCCTGTGTCCTCTGCCTCTCTCTCCTTTCCCTCCTGTGTCCCTGCTCCCTTGTGCTCCCCTGGGCTGTGAGCCCCACACAGCCATCCTGGGGAGAACCTGCTGGCCCTCCTCCCTCTCTGGATCAGGCCAATGGACACCTGCTGAGATCTCTGCCACAGCCATGGGACATAAATTTGCATCTGGCCCTGGTGCTTCCTGCATTGGATTCCTCTTTTGGATTGAGCTGTTTATCTCTTCTGTTGCATTAAATTTCTTTTGCATCCCAGCCCAGCCTGTGTGCCATTCTTTCTCCTACAAAGATGATTCCAAGATGTCCAAGCAGAGCAGTGTTGACCAGGGGTGGTTCTATGAGGGTATTTCAGGGATATCTGTGCTGTGATTGTTCACACAATGATTGTTAACTCTCCATGCAGTGTCCCTGCCTCTGTGGACACTCCAGGCACACACAGTCAGGAGGAAGGTTGTTTCTCTGGGAAGGTTAGTAGTACATGGGGCATATGGAGAGCTTTCATTATTCCCAGTAGGAAGGATGGAACAGTGTTCTGAGCCCTTTTCAACCTTTGCAAGTGAGTTAAACATCACTGCAGATCATGTGTGCAGGGAGACACAATCCTTTGGCAGATTTAGTCCATCTTAGGCTTCTGGAAACAGTTTTTTTCATATTTTTGCAGACAGGACTGGAAGAGGCAAGCTTCTCTGTGCTTAGTACTTACACTCAAGAGAAGCCTACACTGTTCTCCTGATGTACATTTATTATTCTATAAACACAATATCTCTTATACCTTAAGATGATTTTGCTCTTGCTGCTACCAGAGAGAACCAATAAGCCTTCAGTCACCTGCTGGAATTATATTAGACAAATTTCTGGCTACTGCCAGAAAAACCTCGTCCTGTAACTCCTAACTAGAACAGTGGGAAACCTTCTAGTCTATCTTCTGCCCCTAAAGGAAGTCAGGGGATTGAATGTCAGTGCCTTTTGCTGACATGTGTATGAGACTTCTCCTTTGAAGTCAGTTCCAAAAGAGGGTTCTTGCACTGAGGAGAGGGGGGCTATGAGTTTGGATTGTCCAGGGAGGAGAAGAAACAACTGGAGCATAAGTCTGATGAGAAGAAGCTGAGGGAGCTGGAGGGACTCAGCCTGGAGAAAAGGAGGCTCAGGGGGGACCTTCTCACTCTCCATGACTCCCTGACAGGAGGGTGGAGCCAGGTGGGGCTCAGGCTCTGCTCCAAGGGAACAAGGGACAGAGTGAGTGCAAATAACCTGAAGTTGTGCCCTGAGTGGTTTAGGTTGGCTATTCAGGAAAAATTATTCACTGAAAGGGTGATAAGACATTGGGAACATGTTGCCCAGGGCAGTGCTGGAGCCATTATCCCTGGAAGAGTTCAAAGAATATGTAGATGTGGTACTTGGGACACGATGGCTTTGGCACTGCTGGGGGGAATAATTGGACCTGATGATCTCAGAGGGATTTTCCAATCTTGATGATACTGTGATTCTATGGAGCAGAGGCAGAATGATGGGCACAAGCCTTGGTTTCCCAAAGCAGAGTCTCAGGCATCAGATTTATAAAAGCAAATAACTTAATAAAGCAGCACACAGCAGGTGAGCTCAAGCTGGTGCAAAGAAATCCCCAGGCAATGATATCCCTGTGACTTGGGCACCTGCCCCCACATGTGCTTGCACACACCTCTTGGCCCAAGTTTTGGTCTAGGGTCTTCTAACACCTTGCTGAATTCTTTCTCCAAGTCAGGGAGACATTCTGAGCTTACAGAGTTGCAGCCTCTGCTGAAACTGCAGCTTCTGCTCTTGCTTCTGGTGCAGCAGGGGACTAAAACAGCCCCAGACACAGGATAAACACCCAGGACTGAGCACCCAAACCATCAGTGTGTTATTGTTGCAAAATGTGGAGTATGTAAAATTCTCTTAAGAAATAATCTGTCAGCGATGAAGAGAGACAGGGACAACTGATTTGGTGATCAGAATCCGATTTTACTGTGGGCTACATAAGCTTATATACCATTCTAGGAAAGCTAATAATTTTTTACTACAATGGTTGAGTTAAACATCATACAAACATACTGGAGTTTCCTTGCCTTGTACCTAGGAAATTCTTTTAAACTTAAGACTTGTTAGCATAGCTAAAAAGTATTTAATATATAATATTCATCTGCGAAAGCCAATATCACAATACAAATTTATAACACTAATCAAATCCAAAGTACTTTCCGATTTCATTGTAATGTTCTTTGATGTGTGATCTTTGTATAGTTTCAAGACTAATTGTCAAGAAGAGAGATTTAATCTGTGAAATAGCAGCCAGTAAACTGTAAGTCACATCCAGTTAGAAAGACAACTTGTTCCTAGAATTGCCTTGGTAAGGTTTAAAGCTGGACATGTTTCAATGATCTCAGAGCTAGGGAGTTTAACAAATCTTGTGAAGAACAAACCACTGATAGTGGGCATAAGGAATGTAGAATTTACAGCCTTCAAGGACATCTGTCAGAAGTCCCAGGACAAGGAAGAAACTAACAAAGCCAACTGAGCAATTGTGCTGAAATCAGCTCCAAGTGGGTAAAAGATAATTCTGGCAGGGGCAAATCGCGGCCACCAACACACAGACCACTGACCCAAGAAACCCCCTGACCTGAGAAGAAAATAAAGACTGAGCATGTGGACTAATTAGCATGAGAAATGAGAGAATCATTAACCAATAGAAGATAGAATACTAATTAATAAAAAAGCTATGTTACATGCAGCCAAGGAACACTAATTCCTTTGTTTGCTAAAATGCATAAACAGTAAAAAGTTTTAATATTTGGCATGTTTGATTTGTGGGATTCCACCGAGTATCCAGGCTTGTGCAACTCTGACATAAATAATCAATGTCTACCTCAAGTGTGTAATTGTTGGCTTGTTACACACCAAGTAAAGAATGCAATTTTTGTGGGCAACATTATCAGTGTTCTTTCCAGACTAAAGTCAAAGCACATCACTGTGCCAGCTACTGTGAAATTATTGAGGGAATCACCTCAATTCCAGCCAAAATAAATTGTCTTATGAGGAAGGGCTGAGGGAGAAGGGTTTGTATAGCAAGGAGAGGAAGCTCAGGGGGCACTTGGTCACTGTCTATGTTATAAATGCAACGGCAAAATATGATTAATATAGACAGCGATTTATTATAAAACAATTTCAATCACAAACGGGAGAAAAAAACCACAATAAAATAGATCAGCGCAGCGCTGGGTGGACAGGGGTCTATACCCAGCAGTACAGATTTACCCAAATCCACACGGAGGGTAGAATGTCCAGGGTTTTTATAGGGGTTTTGTGCCCTGAGGCCAAAACTCCGAGCAGTCACTGTTTAACAAAGCGTCTTGATAGTTGGTTGAATGGATTTCCTGGAACCGGCAAACTGAATCAATAGACAGTGGGGCAGAGTCTCCTCATATGTAAAAAGGTCTTGGGTGTTCCTTGATTTCATCCTGGTTTGGGCCATCAGGACGGAGTGGCGAAGAATATCTTGGCTGGGCTTTTTTCTTTGTCCAGCCTGATGGCCCGTGTCCTGCTTATTCTTTTAGGTTGATGGGGGCAGCTAGGATCGTTATCCCGGTGCCGAATTGTTATCTCTAAAATGGTATCTCTAAAATGGATGTTTGCGGCTGGACCTAGGGAGGAATCTTTGGCTACACTATATTTTATATTCTCTCATGTTATTATAACTACAGATATATTTATTTAGGTCTTTACGAATTTTTATTCATAACTATATTTATTACAGTCTACA